TTGGAAATTGATTCGGAATAGATGTAAAGACATTCTGTAGTTCTGTATGTAGTTCAACGTATTGTGTTCCTTCTGACTGGGGATAATCAGACTAGGTGGTCTCGAATACATGTTTTCACATGCATCAATTGTACACCATCCATTTAGACCCGTCCGCGATCCGATCTCGTAAATCGATTGAGACCTTTCCTGTTTGGGGTGAAAATTGCATTGACGTCGGTAGTAGTTTAACACTAGATTCATATCCATCAGTATTACCCTACTGCAGTAACTGGTATTGCTCGAGAAAGATTATCGTACATGTAAACACACTTGTACGTACAAATATGTATGCAATCGAACATGTTAATATCTTCTCATTTCCGTTCCGGTTAACTGACACGCGGTTGCACTTTTAGTGAGGTCTAACGAGAAGCGTAAAGCCTTCGCGCTTTTATGTTCGACAAATTATCTTTACGTCTGATATTGTTGCACCGTAGTCGCTAACATTTCTTTGGTGAGGTAATCCAATTTCGTATACTTACGCTATCCTCCACTCATCATGTTATCGTAAATGTTATGACAATCCTCGAATGTCTGCAATTGGCTACTGGAAGCTGTAAACCCAATTTGTTGCAGTTCAGTTGATGAATGTGATAACTTTTCTGGATTATACTATCCCATATTTGGAAGTTTACCGGTCTAAACGAGCATCATGTCACGTTATCGATTGTGGCGAGGCAAACATCTTTAATCGCTATTAGCAATTTTGTTCCTGGTTCCATGGCCGTGGATTTCTTTTACGGCTCATGTTGTATAAATCTGTTTCCTACCCAGTCCATACTTCTCGGCGTGGAGGTGCTAGTTCACAACCTTTCTCGATTTTGTTCACTGAAGTGAATTTTATTGCAAGAGTTGGCTTGTTATATTGTTGTGATGAGTCAGAAGTCCGAGATGACGCCGGCCAAGCACCTATGTGTTCTAGTTTCTGGACATTGGGTCATGGACCAGCAGTGGTTGATATCCCCTTGACCAATGATATCTCCGGTTCCACATCATCTCAATAAACGAAGCACTACTTCTGTGGTCTTCTTCTTGCGTCTCGGTGACGGGGGTTTCCAGCATAGGATTGATAGTACAATTCTGTGTTTCAGTTACGACTGTTATTCCCGTTTCTTAGTCCGTATCTAATTCGATTACCACAGTTATCTTATATGCAAGGTCAATGAGGTTTGGCTGTACAAGAGTACATACATTCAATATTTACATTTATCTACATATGCCTATCTGTGAATGAACTAGTAATATGATAAAGCATAACACAAGAATGAGGTGATGATCAGATGAATCGAATCAATATGCATTCCCTGACGTTGAGACATGATCCGAAGAAACAAACATTTTCCTTATACTATGTAGTGGGGACGATGAGAGTTAACAAGCGGGGAAGAGAGCTTTTGCATGAACGAATATCTGAATAACAGAGCTGATAGCTGCTGCCCAATGCTGCCGCTAATATCAACCATCGCCTCTCGTTTCATTCATACACCGATTCTGACCAGGGTGTCATTCAAATCTTCATGCTGCTTCAATTCCTCGAGCTACACCATACTCATCGTCACCTCACAGTGCTTGTCGTGTTCATTCGATTCAGTTGACAACCAATCCCTTATTGGTTCACTCCTTTGCAAAGAAATGATCCAGAAGTATATA